AGTCGAATTTCAAAATTGAAAAAATTCTCGAAATTCGAATTCTTTAAAATCCAAAATATTTATTTATTTATTAATTTTTTAAAAGATATTTTCTCATAAATTAAAATCTTAATAATCTTCTTAAAATATAATCTTCTTTAAAAATAATTTAATTACATTTTTTTTTTCATGCAAGTTATTAATGTAAAGTCATATCAATTAAAATAAATTAAAAGTATAAATATAAACTCAATTAAATTATTACTATTTGAATAAAAATATTGATTTTGATATTGAATATTATTATAGTTAATTTAAGATTAAAAAATAATCAACTTATTATTTATGAATGAATTATCAAACAAGATAAATAACTTAAACAAAATAAACTTTTTTTCAAGAATTTCATTTCTCTAGTAAACAAGAGAAAATTTTATTAAAAAAATACAATATATAAAATTTCATTGTAAAATGTTATTTATATTATTAGTTATGTTTTTCGATTCAAAATTTCGATAACTAAAACGATACTTACGTCAATGATTTATTCCAATAAAAAATAAAATAAAATTGTCGATGTTATTGTCTTATAAGTTTATTATATTATTGATTCACTTTTTATTTGAATCACTTTTTATAGTATTTAAATTTTATAGTATTTATAGTATTTATATATACCTTTTATAGTATTTAAATTATTATTCTATTATAATTAAATTTTAATCTTAAATAAAACTACGTGCACGTACAATTAAAAGTCGCATTATAAATAGTCTTAAAATCAACCTTGATCGTATACGTTGCTACGCATAACAAAAGGAGGGTGCGTTTTACCCTCGTTCGTTTTACCCTCGTTCGTTTTACTTATTTTCCTTTGTGTTAATATTATATTCTTCTTCGTATCAATATTGTAAGAATTATTTTTTTCATTATTATTAATTACTATTTGAATATAAGTCATTTTATTAATTACTAAAGTACTAATCAACAACAAAATTACTAAATTACTAATTTACTAATCACTTTATTAATTAAAAAAGATTTTTAAAAATAATATGTATATCTATCTTGATTATACATTTATGCAAGATATTAATATATTCGTAAAAAATCGATTCTAAAAGCAAAAATAAATACAAAAGTTGATGTACAAAAATATCGGTTGAATTTTTTTAAATTGCAATTGTAATTCGCATTAGATGAAACGAAACAGAGTGTAACAGAGATAACGTTTCATTTTATTTTCGCCTCACTTTGTTTAATTACTTTAAATGATTAAAAAATAAATTTCAACCAACATTTTTATATATTGATTTTTGTGTTTATTTTGATCTCTAGAATCGATCATCCAAAGATATATCACAAATTAACATTTTATATATGAAAATAAAAATTTTTTATTTTTTTTTTTTATTTACTTAAATTTACTTTGAACATAGAATGCTTACCAATTATGAATTTTTACTTTAGTATTATAAATTGCAGGAGTATGGAAAATAATTGGTTCCATTTCTTTAATTTCATCTTCACAAATTGGAAGAGCAGCCTGTAATATGATTAATATTTATAATTTTTATATTTATATTATTCTAAATACAATAATAAATACATTTAGTATTGTAATTTTATTTTATACAATACGCTGTAGACATTATTCAACATACAAAAAAATAAGTAAAAAAAAAGAAGAATAAAATAAAATTTGAAATGTCGTTTTTAAGAAAATGTAATTTAAAAACTTATCAATTTCTGATAATATAAAAATTCAGATAATAAAAGCTTATTTTCAAAAAAATCAAACTTATAAGTTAATCAAATATATATATATATATTTAATTAATTCTTAATTGAATCTTATTTTTTAATTATTATTTTCAAGTTCAATAATTTTCTTAAAAACGAATTAAAAAAAAATATTTTATTCCACATTTTTTTATTTATTTTCGTTTATTTATCTATTAATAATAATTCCATATATATTTAATTAATCACGTTTCCAAATTTAGCCAAATATATTTTTGTACATGAAAACTTTGGTTCCATATTTTTTTCAATGAAAATTATCATTTTCTTAATTATATATAGATTATTGAAATACCCTATAGATATGTTTTTAATAATAAATATGTGTAATTGAAGAAAATATTAAATTTATTTATTAAAAATATTTAATTTTGCCTATAAAAATACAATTAATATTATTAATATATAATTAATAAAGAATTGTAATTAAAAAAAGAAAAAAATATTAAATATAATAAATAAATTGTATATAAATGTAAATGACATTACATGGATTTACATAATATTGAATTAAATAAATATATAACATTATATATATATATTAATATTAAAATACATAAATAAATTTCATATGAATGATATTTTAGACATAGTATATAGTTTATATTATAATAATTAATAAAATTTATAATTAATTAAGAAAACAATCTTACGTTTAATCTTCCTTTCGTTAACATGTTTCCTTTTTAATATTATGTATATTTTCTTAATATATTTCCTTAATATATTTTATTTCGCAGAATATTGCATGAATAATTAATTGAAAATTACTTTGAATATAGTATCAAATATTTGTAAAAAAAAAAATTATATAAAATATTCCTTTTTAATATTTTCTATCGAATCTCTGATATCTTCACATCTCTTAGAATTGACAATATATAAACGGATGTAATTTATTATAAATTTATTAAGCATTAAATTATTTTTAAATCGAAATCAGCGAAAGTATATTTTTTGTTTTAAGTTTATTGAAAAAGAAAAAATTGTGAAAAAATGAATTCTATGTTAAAAGAATTAATATTACAAAAATGTCGTAAGGTTAGCTCTTTGGAATATGTTGAGGAAGAAGAAAGGGAGGATATCGAAGAAGAAGAGCCTGAATTGGAACCAGAATTGCCTTTTGAAGATATTCTCGCCGATAAACGTCGCAAATATTCTATTAAGGAAGAATATATTTATCTTCTTTATAATGACATTTTGAAGTATTTTGTAAAAGAGTAATTATTTTTCTTTTTACTGAATCTTTATTCAAATTTCATTATTTATAAATTTAGTTCTTATAAATTAATTAAGTAATTGATAGTATAAAACTATCAATATTAAAATTTTAGTCAATATAATTATTTTCATTTATCATACTTGATTCATAAATAAAAATTATAAAGAAATAGAAAAAAAATTATACATGATATAAATTATTACTTTGATATAATAAATTTTTTATAAAGTCTTAATAAAAATTTCTCTATATATATA